TAAACACTGGAGGGGTCCTGGAGGTTAGGTCAGGTCCCATGGGCTTCTATTGTTATATTAGATTAGACGTGTACGAGTATGTTAATATTTAGTCATTAGGTTAAGTTCTCGATGATCATTTTGTTTGGCAAAATTTAGTTCCTGCATCATTTTAGGATCTTGATAACCTGAAGAACTTTTCTTCTATAGACGCATGCACCCGTTCTTAAATAAAGACTCTTTAACGTTTTCTGTAAGAGTTAGGTTAGGCTTTATCATGTTTGTGCGTCGTCGTTTTTTGTGATACACAAGTTTTCTGTACTTAAAGCCCAGCTCACTTTGTGTGTTTAAAATTGCACCTTTTAAAGAGAAATTGAAGATTAAAAACTCTAAAAATATAAATGACAAAAATGATTAAGAGCAAAGTACTTTTTTTTTAACTATTTCCCTATATACAACTCAATATAGAGCTCTGTGGTTGAATTTTTCCGAATCTTTATCGTAAGGGATCTCAGTTGAGTGATAATTATAATTAATGAGCTCGGGATGAGGCCACCAGGAAGACCACCAGTGAGTATTATTTCTATATTGTATTTGATAATATTCAAGATTTTGTTTCAGCCATAGCAGCTACCTCACAAAACTTCTCTATAGAGAAGCAGACATAAAGTGCAAGAGGAATACTTTTTTGTGATATATCACGTTTGACTTGCGAAATGGATGGATGGAGACAGCCACCACAAATGGCAGGTTTACACTGTTGGAATGATTCTTTTTTCAGAAAGGAATTCTATTCGATTTTAGAAGAATAAAATAGCTGATGTAGTATTTTAGGTGAGGTCTGTTAAGTTATGGAAGGTACAGACTATAAGTGTATTTTGCCACTTGATAATTAATTGCTAGCTAATGACATTTTGGGTACCAATAATGTCATATTTTAAATTACTTGAATTTTTTCTCCACATAATTTTAGGAATGATGTGTTCCAGGTGTTCATTTATTCTGTTCACACTGGTTATGATATGTTTTTTTTGTATATTTCTCGATGTAAGAAAACTTATTTTCTAGGAGGAAATTTCGCCGGGTAGTTCCTAACGCCAGATCTCTCATGTCAAGTATTACTAAGCATACATTATATGACAAACTATTGTCATATTCTTCAACTTTTTTATGACAAATGTGTCTTCCAGAAAGCCAAGCTCAAGAAGTGTGATACAGAGGTGTACTTATGCAGTATGTAATATTTTATGTGGACACCCTATTAGTGGGAAATATGTTTCTCTGTACAGAAACGAGGACAAGACCTTTTGATGTCATATTTTTATTACTGCACTTCAACAACTAAGCTCTTTAAGTGCCTATTAAGGTTAAAATCACTCTACTCCATCACAATAAAAAAATATGAAAGATGGAACTCCTAGTTTGTAGGTGTATTTTCAGGTAATATTTCAGATTTTATATCTGCAATTTGAATTAATCTAACACAAAATATTTGTGAAAGAATGCAATATGGTGCTTCACATTAGGCAGTGCGTGGTTTTGGCTTATTTTCAACTACCCATTTGCCTGCCTATATTTAAATGCGATATTATTAAAAGGATGTGACTATCTGTGAGTCTGTCTGTCTGTCTGTCTGTCTCTCTCTGTATTCAGGCACAGCTCCAAACTGGAAACTTTAAACTTTACACACATATTTGAAAGGCTCCAAGGTTATGTATGGTATTATTATTATTAACCACGGACTATCGGGTGTCTGTCTGTCTGTGACAGTCTATATCTAATCCAGTCATAGCACCAAAGTGGAAGCAGTTAGAGACCTTAAACTTGACACACGTATTACATGATGATGGATCCCATGGTTGTGTACCTTGGTATTATTATTAACCAAGGGCACCCAGGTGGCTGTCTGTGTTTGTTCCAGCAATAGCTCCAAAACGATAGCAGTTGGAGATTTGAAACTTTACTGGCATACTACATAGATCCCAAGGTTGTGCACCTTGCTATTACGATTGACAATGTCTCTGTCTGTAAGTCTTTTGCAGTCATAGGCCCAAAATGGAAGCATTTACAAATCTGAAACTTTACAAAAATATTACATGGGTCCCAAGATTGTGCACCTTAGTATTACTATTGATCACAGACCCCCGGGTGGTCCAGGAAAGAACCCAAAAATTTCTCCGACTGAGATATTGCCACTGCAATTGTGGGAGGTATATACCTAACCTGGGCAAAGCCAGATATTTTTCCTTGGTATTTGGCAAGTTTATCATTACTTTATTATTAGTTACACTTTCTTAATTCAATAACTGTACATGTAATACAGTACAAAATTGAATTATATGTTACCATTGTGTTGCATTCCATACAAACAGTAATGTTTAGTTCTAAAAAAAATGGCTCTGAATGGCTGTGTCTGTTGAATTAAATGAAATTATCATCCATCTAAATTTCAGGAAAAACGAACCGCAATTGAAAATGTCAAAATTTCAGGTCTTGTGGCAAAGGTCAATGGTTCTTTCCAGTTAGAATCATAGACATGCACTTTAATTTGCTAGAATGTCACAGGCACGTTGACATTGATATAGGGGGAAAAGGAATGAGCAATAATATTATGGTTTGTTACATTTATTGGAGTTGTTGAAGGTTCCACTGAATAAAAACAAATTATCAGCTCACTGCTACCAGAGGGATGTAACTCATTGCTATTGAAATTTTCATTCTTATTTTTTTAAAGACAATATTATTACCTGTAGTAGTAAAGGTGATAAACCATAATTATATTAGTAACTGCTTGATGATTTTTGTAATTATCTGGGATGAAGCCATTATTTTAAAATGCTTAGTGAGTGTCTGAGTGATAGTTTTTCATTATGGCATTAGTGTCAGTGAAGTATACCTACTGCATTGTGACGAGGTTTATTATTTTACAAGATTTTTTTAAACAAGCTTACTGTTGTAAAAAAATGTTTTTAACAGTGGCTTTTGGTTTTTCAGGTTAGAACTTCACAAGCGTTGGTGGTAAGTACAAAGTCCAAATTGTTTAAAAACCTCATCATATTTTGTAATTGTTTAGGTAGGTTATGATAGGGTGCATTTTTTAATATGCACATCCAGATTTATGATTTGGGTATGGTTGAACAAATTTTAAAATTCACTAAAAGAAAAATTAAAGTTACTTCGAATCCTGAGCCTTCCTTTATCAGGGAGCAGACTTTAATTATATTATTTTAATTGCATTTATCTTGCTAACCCTGCAGACCATACAGTACAAGAAACCTAGCAGTGTTAGTGCTATGTACTGAGATAAATTAAGTTAAGGTTAGGTTAGGTTACAATTTATAAGTTTCAGTATAAGTGACACTTAGAATGAGGTTTATTGAGGTACTGTAGTGTTGTTGTTTTTTCAGATGGAGATAAAGTTTATATATTTTAGTACAATATAAATGCAATTTATTTCAGGTGCAGATGACATTCATATGTATTTTTCTCACTACCTTTAATTACGAAATATGAAGTTTATTAAAGTGCAGTTAAAGGTCATGTTTAATTTTTAGTACAAAGCAAATGAATTTTTTTATCAGGTACAGTTAAAATACATATGAATTTCAGTGCAAAACATGCAAACTTTATTTTCAGATAAAGGTAAAGTACCTATTTTTTGTTAAATTAAATGCAATGCTTATTTTGGATGGAGGTAATGTTCATGTATATATTTTAGCGCAACGTTTTGTAAAGTTAATTTCAGGATCAGCTAAAAAAAATATTTGCATATGAATTTTGGTGCAACGCTTATGCACACTTTTTTTTTTTACATGAAGAGCCGATGATTTAGTATGTACCACAATGGTCTGAGCCAGGCATGGCTCGGGTGATGAGGACATCTTGGCGATCTCTTTCTCTGACAATGATGTAGTCAATGAGATGCCAATGTTTGGATTGTAGGTGTTGCCAAGAACCTTTGAACTTGTTCGCCTGTGTAAGTAAGGTGTTGGTGATAGTGAGCTTGTGTACAGCACACTTGCTGAGGAGGAGTTGGCCGTTGGGATTACACTTGCCTACTCCATTCCTCCCTATGGTTCTCTGCCATATGTCAGCATCTCTGCTATCTCTGGTATTGAAGTCACCGCGGAGCACAACCGTATCTTCTCTGGTGGTTGAGGTTAGCACTGTCGAGGTCGGCGTAAAAGGCCTCCTTGATGTCATTCTCTGCATCCAGTGTTGGGGCATATGCACTGATGAAGAAGGCATGACGTCAAAGATTCAGTGGGACTTGGAGCGTCATGAGGTGCTCGTTGATCCCAACGAGCATTTCAGTTATCCTATGTAGAATGGATCGGTAAATGGCAAACCCTACTCCATAAAAGTGGCTTCTCTCCATAGCAGGCTTACCCTTTCAGAAGAAGGTATAGCCGGACCCCTGTTCTGTGAGTCGACCCTCGTCTGGGAGCCGGGAGTCACTAATGGCTGCTATGTCGAGGTTATACCTAGACAGCTCTTTTGCCACAAGGACGGTTCTTCTTTCAGGACCTTCATTTGTGCCAGTATCCAGAAGGATCCTGACATTCCATCAGCGACCATAAAAGGTTGTTTAGTTTGTTTTTTCTTTTATCTGTGATTATGATTATATTTTCGACAGCAGAAGGATGACCTTAGTGGGTGCGGTTGCCCAGTGAGGTTGTTTTTTTTAGGCAAGCTATATTTAGGACGCCTTTTCTAGCCCCCTCTCCATGTGGGGTGAGCAGAGTGGCTCCTCGAAAGGGCTGCTCAGTCGCACAGACAGGACCGGACTGCACAGCTTCCTAGATCCCAGTGCATAAACGACCATCTTATCTATGCCGCCCATGTGCAGAGTTGTGACTAGAGACTCCCGGCAGTCAACCCTGCATGTTCCCGTCGCCATTGAACTTTTTGGAGAATAGGGGTTTGGTGATGATGAGAATATGATGAGCTGGATGATGGCTGCACGTGAGTTAATTTATGTGCTAAGGCAACCACACATTTTGGCTCTCTATTTTCCTGATTTAGTGGTGCAAGTAGTTGCTTATGGTATTCAGGGTTTTCTGTAATTCTGAGGGTAGGGTTTTTGAAGCAAGAGCTTGCCTGTGGATCATGCAGTGGAGAGGTATAGCATTTGGTGATTTTTGTATAACTCTTGAAACAAAACCTGACTTAGAACCTAACATGGCTGGAGCCCCGTGTGTGCATATCCCACAGAGATTGTCCCAGTCGAGACCATTTGCTTCAAAGAATTCTGAAAGTTTCTGCATTACATCTTCACCTTTTGTAGATTGCTCGAGAGTTTCACAAGACAAGAATTCCTCCTTCATATCCTCACCATGAACATACCTAACAAAAACCATGAGTTGTGAGCAGGACTGGACGTCAGTGGACTCGTCAAGTTGAATACTGAATAATCCAGCTTCTTTAACTTTCTGTATCACTTGTTCTTTGATATCATCTGACATAAGAGATATTCGGCGTTGCACTGTATTATTTGAGAGAGAAATAGCACTCCGCTTTTCAGCACTTTTCTCACCCAAAACAAGCTTGACCATAGTTTTGGCACATGGCAAAATTAACTCCTCCCAATGGTGTGAGGTTTCTTTTTCTTTGCTATTTCAAGGGATACCAAAAATGATGCCTCCACTAATGCAGCATTTTGTTGGTGAATGGAACCGCTGGCACCAAGTCGTTGTCTCTTCATATTCAATTCCCGTCGACCAAAGAAAGAACGATCCTTGCCAACATGTTGAGAATGTGTAGTTACCAGGTGCAATTTAAGCTTGCTAGGCCTCAGTGATTCAGCGGAGAGTATTTTGTGACAAATCACACACTGAGGCTTCACTACACCTTTATCATTAATGCTTGTAAATCCAAAATCCAGATAGCTGTCGTCGTATTTGCGTTTCTTGTTAGAAGCCATCACAGAGGGGTGTGAAGCGCAAAGAACTACTGCTATAGCTAAATGACGTCACTCATAATGAGACTACAAAAGGTAAATATGAAGCTTCACAATACATGATTATTTGGTATGTAGTGGACTACCCATGAGAGGGAAGATTATTGCAATTGATTTGTGTTTATATTTATATTTTTGGGCGATTCTGGAATATATGGGACCCGATTTTAAGACGATAGCGGGCACCATATTAAATGATATATGTATATTTAGAGACAACAGAAAATTCTAAGATGGGGTTTTTATTAACAATTAATATCATCAGTTTTACGGTATAGTTAAACATTTATTAGTGTGTTAAATATAGTATTTAATATAAACAAACCATATTACTCATGCGTCTGGCAGCAAGGCATTGTTCAAACGTACACCGAGTACAGACGCACTTGTTCCTCTGGCTGGCTCAGCTGCTGACTGGCTGTTCTAGTGTGGCCCCCAGTTTGGGAACCAGTGCCCTAGAGTCTAGACTCAGGAGTAGACCATCAGACCGTTATAATAAATATTTATTCTATCAGTGGCAGTTTCTTGAACAGTCTTCTCACTCTGGTCCTTCAGTCATTAGCTCACCAATACTCCTTCATTCTCCTGTGACCCAAGAACGAATATGGATGAAAGACATTGCAACTAATCAATTTGTCTGTTAACTTATTAGGTAATCATAACACTCTTTGTAATGACACCACTAGAGTTATTAATGAAAATTATTTAATGAAATCTGCAAACCAGATAGTATGTACTGCTACGATATTTGGTAACTAAATATAAGTAGTCATATAACGATGATTAAATAAAGTTCGTGTAAATAACAAATTATGCTGGAAATGGATGATGAATCAGCGTTGTGTTGTGAGCGAGGAGTCGCCGTGACCTTGAACAGTTGTTACTTAACCTTTTCCAGTAACAGTTATTGGTGAGTTATTACTGTGTTCTGTTTTCTAGAGTCACTCATAGTATTTACTGTATGTTTACGTCTGCGAATATTAGTTTTCTGTTATAACTTAAGGCGAGGAGCATCACATGTGTACGATAAGCGTGTAGTAACTCTGACGTCACGCGTCAACACTTTCACCTTTCACTTTCATTCACTTCTTCGGGAGACTCGAGCAGGATCTGTCTTGGTGTGTGTGATACGATGACTCCTTCCAAATACGTTCTGAGTATTCCGATGATACGGCGTTAGTATTTGTTATTATATGTGTAAAAACATTCATACAACAACAGTGAAACTCCTGAAGATTAGGCACCCTAGCTTATTTCACGTGATGGCTAAGCCCCTTAATGTTAAATTAACCTAACCAAATCCAATCTAACCTAACCTAACCACAGTTCCAGGTAACGTTAGGGTGTTTAATCACCAGGTGAAACGAGCTAGGGCATGTAATCTTCACATGATCCATGAACTTTTTTGGGGGGGTGGGGGAGAAGACCTGCTTTCTATTATATCAATGTGCAGATAACTATAGGATAAAACTCTACATTCAGTCTCAATACATCTTGTATCATCTTGTTAAGGTTAAACTACAAACGACTATAAGAAGATAATCCTAGTACTTAGCAACCACAAGGTATATTCCCAGGAAGTGAATCAGATCCTAAATATCCCAAATCATTTCACTTCGTTCTGTTAAACTGAGCAACTATTACATCCGTATGCTACTGACGTCACCAGACCCCGAGCGCGAGGTAATTTCTCTTCCAGGAGGATGCCGAAGCTGGCCAACAGGATGAACAGAGAGAATGTCTTTCGTTGAAAAATTTCCAGTGAAGGTGCCCAGCGGTGGGGATGACAACATACTTTTCCGTTTTTGTGTTGGTATAAAGCGTTGGACGCACCGGTCTGTGCATCAGTCAGCCTTCAACACTCATCGTACTGTACTACAGCAAGCTCGCCTCCCCATACACCTCATTTATCAAGGTAAGAGATGTTCTGTTTTTAGAATGTTACGATATACTGTGAGGATTATAAACAACGGCGAGAACTTACAATGCTCGCAGTTCATAGTTTTTCATTTCACATACGTATCCGAAAAAAGTGTTTACATCTAAAGACTCGCCAAGGATTAGTGATGGTCATTTGACTATACAGACTAATGGTATCTTTCCTTACAGTCACTATGGCCGTCAACGCTCTCGCCCCCGTCATGTACCAGCTGCAGGAAAGTCTCCGTAGTGTTGACCTCGCACATTGGGTCAGCCAGCTGGACTTTAAGACGGTGGGTCTCCTGGCGGTGGTGGTGGTGGGTGTGGTCTTCCTGGTGAACCTGTTTACCAAGTCCTACTCTCCCTATGGCAGGAGTCTCTTGTCCTCCGCTGCTCACGCCTGGGACAACAGGGATCAGCTGGGACTCACTGATGTCCTTAGTGGAAGGTGAGCTTTGTCGGATTATTATTGCTTTACGATTTCTAAACTACATCATTGTCTTTCGTGATCCTGCTTCGTAATACTTCGTAATATGGAAATAATTAAAATTTCTAGAAAATCGTTATACAATACCAGCGCGAAAGTACATATGCACTAATAGTCAATGTACTTGGATCACCTTGTGCACAATTATATATTACCTAAATATTAAACAATAATGTATCTTGACATCTGCCCCAACATAACATGCTAGAGTATCTGACAATTAAATTCTTTCCAACAGCCGGTCGCTGGAACCTTTGTCTAATGTCCTGGACGCCCTGGCTGACGCGGTGATGAAGTGGGAAGAGCCTGAAGTCAGCACTATCAGGAATCGTGTTCCTTTAAGGTTTAGCTAAAGTCTTCGCCACCTTAATGATGGCGATGAAGGAAAAAGAGGAATTGGAGGACGACAGTGTCAGTCGCCGTGAACCATGAAGCTGGGTTATTCAGAGTACAAACACCAGAGAACACAGCCTACAGCAGGGGGGCTCTGAGGCATAAGCCGTTGTTAAGTCGTGAATCACGGCCTCACTCCAACCTTTAGTTAATAACGCTCACATTGTTAAGTTTTTGTTAATAATTTATTGAATAAAATATTTTTATTATATTTTTTGTTTTGATGTTTACTATCCTCGGATTTTTATGTTAAAATCTTATTCGCATGAAATTTAACTCATTATTAAATATTGTTTTATATTTCACATCAGAAACAAATTAGATTTATTGATATAGAAGAGAGAAGTTGTTTGGTATCTGTTTTCGGCGAATTTTTTGCATACAACTGACAGACTCTTCACTGTCATATGTTACATTGAATTTATCGAGTGATTTTCTTTAAGGACATACATGTTAAAATATTATTTTAAACAACACTTCTTGTTATTATAGCCATAATAGTATTGCAACTGGTTCTAGCATTCAGACACCTTATTAACCAAGAGACTAGGACATTCACAGTTTTCTATTTTATAATGCATGACACCAAGGGTTGATCTAACCGAGATTTATAAGTTATGGGCACTACTCATATTTATATAAAATGCTGTTTTTTTGCAATGTTCGCGATGTTCTGCTACGGTGTAGTTCATCAAGCAGTTCGGTATGTACAGTCGTGAACAGAAGTCCTGTCGCCCCTTGTGCTGTTCCGTGAACCAAGAGATTCAGACTCATGAACCCAAAGCAGTAGACACTGGTGCATTATTCTGCCCATAAATGCTTCGGATTCATGAGTCTGAATCTCAGGGTTCGTGGAGCAGCAGACGGGGTGACAGGACTTCTGTTCACGACTGTACAATGTCTAAATCAGCCGCTCGCTTAACCCAACGACGAATAGTACTCTCAGTTATTGTTATATAATTCACGGCTTTCATTTGCCGGTGAGATCCCATAGGCTTTTTTCTCCTCCTGCGATGTTGACGGATGTTGCTCCAAGACCTCTGGAGCAGAACTAAGATACTCAGTTTTTTTTTTTTTTTTTTATAAAAGCGGAGGTATGAAAGATTTTTTTCTCATTTAACTTGAAAATTTTGTTGTTGATAGCCTGCTTTTCTGGTCAAGAAATGTTACAAAGACCACTACATCACTTTAGAATAAGTTCCATATTTACAGGTAGATGTGGACAAACAGTCTCTGACTAAATAAATAAAAAATATTAAAACGGTTAACGGGCCTGACCGGGAGTTGAACCCGGGACCTCTCGCACCCTAAGCGAGAATCATACCACTAGACCATCAGGCCACTGTATAATATGTGGCTCTTAAAGTACTGTAACTTTCTAATGTGCTCACCCGGTTACCGTCACCGAAATATCCTACTAGTGTTTTCGTTTTCTATGGTTAGGTTATATAAAAAAAAACGGATGTATGCTTGGTATGACATTTATATTTTATAACCTACATAAACGTTCAGAATAAATTCCGATATTGCATAATAATTATCTTTTGTATTATTATTACTTCAGATAAAATGAAGCTACTTGTACACACAACTGCACAGACATAAACAAATACACACACACACACAAAATACTAGTACTAGGATTACACTCCTCTACACCTTCACTTTCATTTTTTATTGTTACATATTGCAACTGTTTCTTATTCGGTAAATATTTCGAAAGTTTCCATGCACGGAACTCTATACTGATTCTTATATAGGGAGATAGAACAAATAAGACTACTAATTAACTATATAGCGTCCCCGTCGGAAATTTATAGTTTTGGAGTTATTTTTACTTTTCTATTTGACTTTAGCACAATACTGTACATGTTCGGGGATAAATATATTGTTTACTTGAGTTTTCTGATGAACAATTATTACTAGTGTTGTAGGAAAAAATATTACAGGTTAATGAACAGGTAGTGGCAGTGTTATAGTATTAAATCTTCATTAATGATGATTTTATAAATTTAAAGGTAGTGTTATAGCGAACATGTAGTACCAGTATACAATGAAGTATAGTGGTAAAATATTTCGTAACAATGTAATTTAAAATCGCATTGATATGTGATCAGCACCGGTCTTCCTGGTCTGGCCAACCAGCAAGAATTTTACCTTACACCATTTTTTTTTATTGGGCACCACCCCTTACATCCTTGTGTAAGGAAGTTGTTTGGACACTCTTCCTAGTCCCCCTGGTCCCTGTTCACCTAACAGCAAAGTAGGTACCTGCTGTAAGTCGAAAGTTGCGAATTCGTATTCAGGGACAAGTTGTTGGAGCTTCCAATAACTTGCTTTGACATAAACCATTGACTCTTCAGGCTTCTACGCCATTTACTCTTCAGGCTTCTACGCCCTTAACTCATGAGACATAAGGCAAGCATGAACTTAGCATGCTTCTCTGTTGGGCGCTGTAAACGCTTCTGCGCTTACACCAAAATAGTGTCAGGGCCTGACCGGGAGTTGAACCCGGGACCTCTCGCACCCTAAGCGAGAATCATACCCCTAGACCATCAGGCCACCTATTGTTAATGTTGTACACTGGTGCCACTTTCTAGAGCAGCCGCCTCACTGGGAGGACTCAGTAGGTCAAAGATGGTCTCTCGTCCTCTTGTGATTCAAAACAGAAAACGGATAGAAACTTGGCCACACCATTCTATTTCTGTCGACCTTTTGAGGAATGTTTAAATGCTGTTTAAATTGTCTTTACCTTTTAAACAGGCTAAGAATAAAAGAAAAACGTAAGAAATTTATCGAAATTCAGAGGAACAATGCCAGGACAAATACAAATTCCTCCGTAATATAAAGACGATACTTACGATAGTACTTAGTAAATTATAGTGAACTTTACAAATTGTGAAGTAGTAGCAGTCAGGCACAAAATGAAGCTGTATGAAGATGATAATTAATTAAAGCCATAAATGGAGCTTTAAGTAAAGTACGTCTCATCAACTAGTTGTCATAGCCTTTGACGGCGTGGTAGAGTCGTCCAGTGAACTAGCTTAGTGATAAGTTCTAACTGACTGGACACACTTAGTCTGTTGTTAGTATGAGTTAAATTTTTGCATGTATTTTTATATTTTCTGAATAAAATATCGCAGGAATAACTAAACTAGTAAAGAAATCGCATGTGTAAAAATAATGACGTAATGGTGCGCTGACGTCATGAGTCAACACTTTCACTTTCATTCACATCTTCAGGAAGCTCGACCAGGAACTCCTGATACATGATACGATGAACCAAGGGGGTTTAAACCTCCTTGCAATGAATCCACTTATATATAATCTTAAGGTAATTATGTCACTACGTTGGTATTAGAGTTTATATTATACTGGTTTAGAAATTCTTAAAAGGATAATAAATACAACATAAATGTTTTTTTTTGTTTTTTTTTAGGATTTTGTGCAATGAAACAAAATCATGGATGCCACAACTATTTTTTAAACTCTTTCACCGAACACAAATAAATTAATAGAGAGAGACATATAACACTTCCTCTCTCTCTCACACGCAAACTTTTCATCATTATCCACATTACCCATCTACCAACCATCATCATCCACACTACCCATCTACCAACCATCATCATCCACACTACTCATCCACCCTCCATCATCATCCACACTTCCCATCTACCAACCATCATCATCCACACTACCCATCTTACCCACCATCATCATCCACACTACCCATCTACCAACCATCATCATCCACACTACCCATCCACCCTCCATCATCATCCACATAAGTTGGACTTGAGGGGGATGTATCACTCCTATGCGTCAGACATAAAGTTATTGTGAGTCCCAGCGAGTTCCTCTCTTAGAGTACTGTTGACGCCATTAACAGGTGATATTGATGACGTCACAAACAAGTGATACTGGTGACGTCATTAATTCTGGAAGCAATGGTGACGTCACTAATTCTGGACGCAGTGGTGACGTCACTAACCCCGGTACAGTGTAGTGCTATTGTCTTTCTTTATTTTCGTTGTACTGGTGACTTTACTAATTCCGCACGTAATGGTGACGTCAATAGCTGACAGTAATGATGCCCTCACAAACCTAAGTAACAATGATGACATCACTAACTCTTGTAATGTTAATGATAACTATGTGTTTTTAATGGTAACGTCACTAACTCTAGAGAGACTAGTAAATTCTTTAACGTTATTAAGAAAGGTGACATCACTAACCCTGGTAATATTGGTGATGTCACTATATGGTAGTACTGGTGATGCCACTAAATGTAGTGCTACTGATTACCTCACTAATTGCAGTAACACTGGTGACGTGTTGATGACGTAACTAACAGGAAGTACCGGTGGCACGACTAACGAGTGGCACTGGTAACGTGACTAAAGCTAGTAGTACAGGTTACATTATACTGTATAACTCCATAAAGGTAAGGTACACAGGGATGAGAGAGTATGCTGTACCCTCCTACACCCAACAGAATATACCCTCCGTCAAGCATTTCCCATGACTAAAAATACACGGGGTTATATTTTAGTCCCAAGGGGGCGGGTACAGTGAGAGAGAGAGACTGTGGGGGCCTCTGTCTCACCAGTCATCTCTCAACCTTCCCACGGATCTCTCTCTAGACAATGTTGTCCAGACGGCACGTAAGCCACAAACTGAAATCGAAACCTTCCCTATACATGCACAAAAATTCCTTCATATGCTTAATACCCCTGTGACCACAGCTGCGCACATGTGACGTCACTTGTCTCCCCCGCGGCGGACCAATCATAAATCAGCTGATAGCGGCTCTTCTATGACGTCACTGTTATCAGTATTATAGCTGTCGTTGCCACGTTAGCATTTTAAGTTGGATATATTAGTTTACAGGGTAGAAGAATCCGATGGGACTGTATTTTAATTTGAGATTCCTGTACATACCGCTTTAGTAATATAGTCAGGCCATGAAAGAATGTACCTGTATACAGTCATAATGGTTTTGACTCACAGTGTTAGAAGCTGTAATCTGGATCTGGTAACTAAAACTATAAGTCGTCGAAAAGGGAGTTTACGTTGGGGAGTTCAAAGCTTCGTTTGTGGCGAGAAGTTGATTAGTATCGGTCGCGGTGTCATCACTGAATCCGTTCAACATGACGCCCTCTAACTGATTCCTTGAAGGGTAATACTCTTGGCAAACCCGCGAAGAAT